TCATAGCTCACAGCAACCTCCAACTCCTGGGCTTAGGTGATTCTCTTGCCTCACCCTTCCGACTAGCTGGGACTATAGGCGCCCACCACAACACCTGGCGATATTTTGTTGCAGTTTGGTCAGGGCCAGGTTTGACCCCCTCCGTACTTGGGACTGGCGCACTCCTCACTAAGCCACAGGCGCTTCCCACACCTGGCTATTTTTTTGTTGCAGTTTGGCCAGGCCAGGTTTGAACCTGCCACCCTTGGTGTATGGGGCCCTCGGTATATGGGGCCAGTGCCCTACCTACTGAGCCACAGGTGCCACCCTTACTTTGTACATTTCAGGGAGATAGCAATTACAGGTAAAGTCATAAATTAATACGTGGAAGGCATACATTGGTTTGGCCTGAAGAGGTGGGCCATGTCAAAGTAGGGGTCCACAGGTTATATATGAGTTTAAAGATACTCCTGTTGACAGTTGGCTGAAAGAGTTAGGCTCTGTCCGAAGACCAGGAATCAGGGAAAAGGAATGCTTGAGTTAAGATAAAGCTCTATTAATCAGGGCGGCGCTTGTGGCTCAAGGAGTAGGGTGCCGGCCCCATATGCCGAGGGTGGCGGGTTCAAACCCAGCCCCGGCCAAAAAAAAAAAAGCTCTATTAATCAGAGACAAACTACAGGACACATGCCCAGACTCAAGTGGTTTGTGGTGTATATTGAGGACCAGCAAGTATGTGTTGCTTGTATGGCCCTAGGCCTGTTAATAAGTCACAAAGGACATCTCTAAGAAGGGAAAGGGAGCATGATGAGGCATGCCTGATCTCCTTTCTTATGGTAGCAACTCAGTTTTAAGGGATTCCCTTGGCCAAGACAGGGTCCAGTTAGCCACTGGGGGTGGGGTTTAAGATTTTATTTTCATTCACAAGAGTCTGAGCTGATCCCATGTGGCCAAAGGACCCCATCATAAATCACATCTTACTATCTGATGTGCCTAAAGCCCCGAAGCAAGCCAAGAGATTCCTCTCAGGCAGTACCTGCCAAGGGCTTAGAGATGATCTCTGGGAGCTTAGGGCAAAGGCCAGGCTGTCTTTGCGCCAGGTTCAATTCCTCACCACACAGTGGGTCTGAGAATCTTAAATTTCATGAACGCTATGACATGGCCTTCTGTGAAGGCAGCGGTGGTTTCCTCCTTTTCCCCAGAACTGATGGGGAAGGGAGAGGACATTGCCCCCTCTCCCTAAGGCAGGGGTATTGGGGGGCAGAGCTTCAGAAATGGAAGAAAGAAGGGGTACCCAGGACTTGAACCTGGTCCTCAAATGGTCCTTGCAAAGAACCTGGTCCTTGCAAAGCCCTGCCCTCAGTGCTGGGTCTCAGGCAGGTGACCAGGAGCTTAAGATGGGAGGAAAACCTAAGACACTGTGCCCCTGGGCTTACCCAGGCCTCTCCCAGACAGAGGGGCTATGTGTGCCCCAGAGCTCACATTGGACCTTTGTTCCTAACAAAGTGGACACTGTGCTCACACTAGCTCTGAGCTCTGTTGGGCCAGCCTGGTGGCAGACAGAAGCTGTGTCTTCTTGAGAGGCCGAAATCCACCCATGGAGCTCATCCATTCTCCATGGCAGGGCCTGGGGATATGGCCACAGTGCTGCTTGCCAGCAGCTAAAAGCATAACAATCATGACTGTTGTGACAAGCTTATTTCATGTGTGTGTGAGTTTCCTGTGGCTGCTGTAACAAATAACCACAAACCAGATAGCTTCGGATAATCAAAATTTACTTTCTCTCTGTACCCTCAATGATTCCCGACAATAAAAAAAAAAAATTACTTTTGTAGTTGCAGAGGCCAGAAGTCCAAAATCAAGGTGTTGGTGGGGCTGCACTCTCTCTAAGGGAGGATTCTTTCTTATCTTTTCTGGCTCCTGGTGTTTGTTGGCAATTCTTGGTGCTCCTTGCCTAGTAGACACATCAGCCCAGGCCCCTGGGGCTCTTTTTCCTGTGTGTTTCTGTCTCTGTGTCCACATTTCCCTTTGGTATAGACATCAGCACATGGATGGGGCTTTCCCTAATGACCTCATTTTCACTTTGTTACCCCTGTACAATACCCTGTGTCCACATACTCTGAGGTACTGACAGGACTAGAGGACACAATTCACCACAGAACAGTCATGTGATTTCATGACATCTCTTCATGAAACCTGTGTGAGGCTTATTGGCTTTTTTTTTTAATGAAATAGGGTCTTGCTCTGACACCCAGGCCTGAAAATTTTTTGTAGAGTGAGGGTCTCACTGTGTTGCTCAGGCTAGTCTCTAAGTCCTGGCCTCAAGCATTCCTCCCACCTTAGCCTCCCAAAGTGCTGGTATTACAGATATGAACTACCATGCCTGGCCTGTTGGCCTGTTTTATAGCTGAGGAAAACCATGGCCCAGACTGGTCAAGGTTACACAGCCTGCCATCATTCCTTTGTTCATTCTATAAGTAGTTATCGAGTGATTGCTGTATGTCAGGTCATGTGTTGGGCTCTGGAGACCCAGTGTGAGCACATAGACCTGGTGTTCTTCCTAAGAGACTCATGACAGATAGGCACAGAGCCAGGCAAATAGGGCAGACAGCAAGGATGGGAGCTTTGCTGGTGGAATCCTAGATACTGTGGGGGCCCAGAGGAGATACCTGACTCAGCCTGCAGAGTTAGAAGGTTCTTCCCTCCCAGGGCATCATAGCTAAGAACTAAGGGTGAAGATGGGAAGAGGAAAGCATGGTCCAGGTGGGGAACCAGCATATACAAGGGTCCTGAGGTAGGAAGGGGACTCTTTTGGAGTGATGCCAAAAGCTTGAATAAGATGGCATCTGGGGTGGGGGGTGGAAGCCAGGTTGGACAGGGAGCCATGGAAAGGATTGGGAAGGGAGTTAGAAAGAGACTAGAGGCCCAGATGACCCCAGTGATCCCTTAGCTTCTCTGTCCCACAGTGAAGTACCCACCAGTGGAGCCCTCCCGGTTTATTGCGGTGCCCACGAAGACGCCTGACAAGATGGGCTTTGATGAGGTGGGAGGAGTCTTCATGGGGGCGGTTCTGGGTGTTGGTAGGGCTAGGGGTTGGGATCAGCCTGGAGTGGTTGACTGGGTTCTGGGCCACAGGTCTTCATGATCAACCTGAAGCGGCGGCAGGACCGGCGGGAGCGCATGCTTCGCGCACTTCAGGAGCAGGAGATCGAGTGTCTCCTGGTGGAGGCGGTGGATGGCAAGTAAGTCTGAGACCAGGGTGATGTGGATGGGCATGTGAGTGTAGAACTCACTGGTGGATAGCCAGTGATTCCGCTGGGGACAGGGTCTAAACGCAGGTGTAGACTCTGATCGTGGGCATTGTGGAAGGCAAGTGAATGTGACCTGGAGGAATGGGCAGGGGACCGGTGCCTTGGAGTCTGACCCAGAGGGAAGGGTAGGTCCACATGCTGCATGTGTAGACTACAGTGGGGGGGACCCCAGGAAGACGGAAGGGAAGGTCTGCCTGTGAGTGTAGACTGTGTGCTGGGTGGTAGGGTGCCTATGTCCAAGAGGGGCGCTAAGTGGAGAAGAGGGACAGGCTGTGCATCTTGATGGGGGCAGGATTGATTGTCTTCCTTGGGACTTCCCACTCCTTTCCCCAGAGCCATGAACACCAGCCAGGTGGAGGCGCTGGGCATCCAGATGCTGCCTGGTTACCGGGACCCCTATCACGGCAGGCCACTCACCAAGGGCGAGCTAGGTTGCTTCCTCAGCCACTATAACATCTGGAAGGAGGTAGGTGCCCCAGGGGTGGGCGGGGCTAGAGTCCTGACCCTTAATTTCAGGCCTGTGGGGGTAGACAGAGGAAGGAGGGAATCACTGCTGTCTCAGAAGTGTGTTGGCCGCAGGGGAATGGAAACTCAGGCTGGGAGGGAGAAGGGGAGAGCTGAGCTCAAGCTGGTGGAGTCTGGGGCTTGAGACCTGCAAGCAAAGCCTCTTCACTCCTAGCCTTGACTCAATCTCCATGTTTACCAATAGAAGTAATGGACACAGTGACGTTAGGCAGCACGGACTCCAGGCCAGGGGTACCCTGTTAACGTGAGGGCTCCTGGAGGGAGAGGCTGCAGTGTATGGACATGTCAAACTCGGATTCAAACTTAGATGTGAGGCCAAATGAGGGTGTCTGGCTGCAGATTGGGAGGGGCACCGGAGGGGACTCTGGGTGATTGAGGCGCTGAGTGGTGCTTCTTCCCTGACATTCATCATGGGTGGCCCTGGAACCAGGAGCGGGAGGAGTATGTGCACTTACTTCTCTGCAGGTGATCAGAGCCTCTTCAGGTTAGTGCTGGCTTGAGGAACAGGTAGGGCTTTGGTCTCCCTGTGAATGGCAGAGTTTTCTCCTTCAGGTGGTGGACCGGGAGCTACAGAAATCACTCGTATTCGAAGACGACCTGCGTTTTGAGATCTTCTTCAAGAGGCGCCTTATGAACCTCATGCGGGACGTGGAAAGAGAAGGCCTAGACTGGGACCTCATGTGAGGAGGACCCTAGGAGGCAGGGTGGAGCTGAGGCCTGGGGGTTGTGGTTAGGGTAACAGGCCTGGACTGGGCTGAGAGCACTGTCAGGGTGTGGGCTATGCCTTAGGAGGATGACCTGGAAGTCAAGGACTGGCCAGGAGCCTTCAGAATTGATCAGGGCTTGGAAACTTGACTGAAGTCTATGGAGGTGAGAAGTGTGGCTAACATTTGATACAGCAGTGGGGGCCCCACCCCCACCCCACCCCCACCCCCGAAGAGAATGTGGGTGTGGCCAGGGAGCCTGGGTGGGCATGGCCTGCACTGGAGGTGTGGCTGAAGAGTGTGAAGTTTGGCCAGTGAGCCTAGGTAGTCATGGCCAGCACTGGCTGGCTAGAGTGTGAGGGTTTGGACAGGGAGCCTGAGTGGGCATTGTCATCACTGGAGATGTGATTGAAACATGACGGTCTGGTCAGGGAGCTTGGGTGGGTGTGGCCCGCACTGGAGGAGTGGCTGAAGAGTGTGAGTTTATGGGTAGGGATCCTGTATCTTAACTAACACTGAACAGCTTCAGGCTCAAAAGAATGAGTTTTGCTCTCCACAGCTTCATATCCTCCCATGGCTCCATAGTGCTCTTGGAAAAAACTCACACTCCTTCCTGTGACCCCCACACTCCTATGGTGGGTGCTGTGTTCAACACAGCACTCTCCTGGACCCCTCCCACATTGGGCCTGATAGGGGTAACTAGATCCCTGATGTTCTGGGCTAGCAATCTGTAGAGGGCAAAGACGTATAACAGGGCTCAATTCTGCACCCAGCTACGTGGGCCGGAAGCGAATGCAGGTGGAGCACCCCGAGAAGGCTGTGCCCCGTGTGAGGAACCTGGTGGAGGCTGATTACTCTTACTGGACCCTGGCCTACGTGATCTCCCTGCAAGGCGCCCACAAGCTGCTAGCTGCCAGGCCACTCGCCAAGATGCTACCTGTCGATGAGTTCCTGCCTGTTATGTTCGACAAGCACCCAGTGTGAGAGGGGGTTGTGGCAGGCAGGCTGATGGGCTGGGTCTCACTGTGTTTCTGTCTTCAGTAGGTGGGGGTGTGAGACTGGCAAGCTCCAGGGAGACACCTCTTCCTCTGCCCACTATTCCCTCCATTTGCCCCCACCTATATCTGTCTCCATGTGTCCCCCCACCTGCTCTGTTTCTATTTCTCCCACTTCAGTATCCATTTGTTCCTGCTCTGCCTATTTCTCTCTGTCTCTTCTCTTTACTTTTTCCCTCATTTCCCCCATTCCCCCACTTCTTACTCCATCTGTCCCCCCCTCCCCCAGACCAACTACTGCCTCTCACTCCCTTCCTCCCTCATTCTAGGTCTGAGTATAAGGCCCACTTCTCCCTCCGCAACCTTCGTGCCTTCTCTGTGGAACCCCTGCTTGTCTACCCAACGCACTACACGGGGGATGACGGGTATGTGAGTGACACAGAGACCTCGGTCGTATGGAATAATGAAAACGTCAAGACTGACTGGGACCGTGCCAAGTCCCAGAAGATGCGGGAGCAACAGGCACTGAGCCGTGAGGCCAAGAACTCAGATGTGCTCCAGTCCCCGCTGGACAGTGCTGCCCGTGATGAACTCTGAGGGGCAGGAGTCAAAATGCCAAAGCAGCCATTGCTGGCCCGCCCTCCACATGCTCACCAGGGATAGCAGGGCTACCTATGGTCTCCTGGGCAGGCCACACAGGACTCTCCATGCAGGGTAGTGTCCAGCCAGCTCTTGCTCAGCAAGCACATGCATACAGGCAGCATTAATGGAGTACCTACTGCATACCAGAAATAGGGCTTGGCAATAGGGAATTGGGAGGAACAAAGCCCTCTTCATTCCACTTGTTAAGCACCTGCTGTCTACCAGGTTCCTGTTATGACAGTGAATGAGGCTTAATCCATCCAACACTGATTCATTTATCAAGCATTTATTGATCAGATTTACACATTTGTTTTTAAAATTAGTTCAAATATTTATTGAGTGCCTACTGTGTATTAGGCACTATCCAGGCTCTGGGAATATTAATATAAATGACAGTCATTCATTTATTCAAACATATATCAGGTACCAGCCTGCTGTGTGCAGGAAGGTGAGCTAGGTGATGGGGATGGAGGGAAATAAGATGCTTTTCACTCTAAATTGGTTTCTTCCACACACTTCTTAGGAACCCGGCACTAGTGATTCAAAACAGTATGAGAGTTGTTCAGTCAGCATTTTTGATCATCCACTATATGCTGGGCTGCATGTCAGGTGCTGGGGCATAGAGGTGAACTATATGAGTATCTTTATTTTTACATACCACAACCATTTATTGAGTACCTAATGTGTGCCAGGGCTCCTGATTCCCAGTTGGATTGAAGAGGGTTCAACTTAAGTTTGGTTCCTCCCTGTCCCCCCACCCACCTGAGCTGTGTGCAGACAACATCCCCCCACCACCCAGGAGGGAGGGAAGCACTTTCCATACCAGGGGCAACCACAGGTCTCAGTGGGCACATGGCCACAGGCCAGCCCCCCTGGAGGGGGCATAAGAGGTGAGGGCTGGGTCTCCCTCACCCAACCCTGGTTCCATTCACTGACCTCCCTGCCCTTGTGTCTCAGGTGTGGTCTCTGCCTGCTTGATGAAGTTCCTTTGTTCAAGTGTTTGGTGAGATCATGTGTTTGGAGGGCTTGTAGGGGCTCAGCTGCATTGGGGCACTGCCCATAGCCTGGGCAGGATGTTCCCCAGCAAGGGCTGGAGGATTTGATATGCCTTCACCCTGAATTGAATGTCAGAGCCAGCCAGTGGTGCTTCACCCTGTTGGGAATAACTTGCTTATTTTTTTATTAAATGTTCATGGTTGGTTCACTGAGTCTATGGTCTTGTGCACTGCAAAAACACTCTCACAGTGTTCACCCTTGGCTGCTGGTCATCATTTGGGAGAAAATCAGGGCAGTATCAGGGCAGGGTAGTATGGAGAAAGTGGCCAGCGCAGTGAGTGTGGAGTGAGGGTGTGACAGTCCCAGGTCCCAGCCTGCCCCATAAAGCTTCTCAAAAACAGCACAAGAGCAGACAGCAGATGTCACAATATCACAGGTCAACTGCACAATTGTCTCAGATGACTTTTGAGGATGGGGGCTGTTGTGGTATGAGTGATGTGAGGACACTTACCAGGTGTGATCCTAGGAACCTACCACGGAGGATGGGAAAGTGGGACAAGTTGAGAAAGATCACTATAGGGGGCTCAGCATGTACACTCAGTGGTTAGGGCACTGGCCATATAGCACTATGGCTGGTGGGTTCGAACCTGGCCTGGGCCTGCTAAACAACAATGACAACAAAAATACCAGGCATTGTGGCAGGTGCCTATAGTCCCAGCTACTTGGGAGGCTGAGGCAAGAGAATCGCTTAATCCCAAGAGTTTGAGGTTGCTGAGAGCAACCTCCACTGAGATACTACAGCACTCTACTGAGGGTGACCTAGTGAGACTGTCTCAAAAAGAAAAAAAAATCACTATAGGGGGTGCCAATGAGCAGATAACACTGTGGGCTTAGAGACCTCAGGGCAACAGCAGAAAGCCCACACCTGAATGGTCCCACCCCAGAGAGAAGGGGCTGGGGCATCCATGCCCCACCCAAAGCTGGATTTTCTGAGTCAAATGCTTGTGAATTCTCAGGGTGCATAGGAATATACCCAATGCTTTTATAAACTCACAGATGGTATGCAATCAGTTTAGAAAAAATTAGAACTTACGGCTAAGCAAACAAACAGTAAAATTAAACCACACATCTTCAGACACAACTAACATTTTAATGAAAAACCTTCCAGCTTTTACCCATTTGCATGGAGCAAATATATACATGTTTATAAAAAGGCTATCATGTTACATAAGCTCTACTGTAACTTGCCTTTTTCATGTAGCATGTGTTTATTTTATAAACATATCAAACTGCACTGATTTTTAAAATAATTTTCTTTTTAAATTGAACAGTATGTTGTGGAGATCCTTTCTAATTGGGGCTAACTTCTACCAATTCTCTTTGGAATGTTACAGAAAACATTCTGTTTTTTCAACCATTCTGATTAAAGAACGTTGCAACCCTGCAGTGAATAGCATTGTAGATCTTTCATACTGGATTTTAAAATTTCCATTGAGTACATTGATACATGTAGAATTTCTGGGTTAAAAACTGGGAACTTCCAGTTTCTTTTTTTTTTTTTTTTTGAGACGGAGCCTCAAGCTATCCCCCTGGGTAGAGTGCCATGGCATCACGCTCACAGCAACCTCCAACTCCTGGGCTCAAGCGAGTCTCCTGCCTCAGCCTCCCAAGTAGCTGGGACCACAGGCGCCCGCCACAGCGCCGGCCATTTTTTGGTTGCAGCCATCATTGTTGTTTGGCGGGCCCGGGCTGGGGATTCGAACCCGCCACCTTAGGTGTATGTGGCTGGCGCCTTAGCCGCTTGAGCCACAGGCGCCGAGCCATGGAACTTCCAGTTTCAATTCCATATTTACTTTTCTTGTGAAATGGTTAGCTGTTCATCATCTTATTGACCAGTGGGGATAATCTGAGTTTACTAACAAGTCCCTTATGGGACATTCATTTCTCATGTTTTGCGGGGTATTTCTAACTTTTAACCCCGTGAGTTGCAACCAGGAGCAATTTTGTTCCTCAGGGGACATTTGGCATTGTCTGGAGAAATTTCTGGTTGTCATGACGAGGGGTGGATGTTATTAGCATCAGGTGGGAGGAGCCAGGGATGCAGCTAAACATCTATGATGCATGTATATATGCATGTGTGTGTGTATACACACATGTACACACATGCACACATGTACATGAGCCATGTATTTTCTTGCCTTTATGTGCATTAATGTTAATTTTTACTTTCTGTAGAGATGAGGTCTTGTTATGTTGCTCTGGCTGCCCTTAAACTCCTGAACTCAAGCCATCCTCCCACCCCAGCCTCTCCAAATGCTAGGACTATAGGTATGAGCCACTGCACCTGACCTATTAATATTATTGATAATTAATACTAATTCTTTACAATTTAACTTTAAATTGAAAATGATTCCTATTCACGAGGAAAGCCTTCAGTTGGTCCATTGGCCCATTATATTAGTTTCCTATTACTGTCACAACAAAGTTCCCCATTTTTAGTGGCTTAAAACATCACCAGTGTATTCATGTATGGTTCTAGGGGTCAGAAGTCCAGTGATGGCTGATTCTTTCTGGAGGCTCTAGGAGAGAATCTCTTTCCCTACCTTTTCCAGCTTCTGGGCATACCTTGGCTCTTGGCCCCTGCCTTCATCACTCCACCTTCTTGTTTCCATCTTCACATCTCTTATTAATCTTTTTGCCTCTTTCTTAAAAGGAAGACCCTTGTCATTTCATCTAGGACTCACTCATAATCCAAGATAATTTCCCCATAATCCCCAAATCCTTAATTCAATCACATCTGCAGAGTTCCTTTTGCCATTTATTTATTCTTTAGAGACAGGGTCTCACTGTCACCCAGTGCAGTGGTGCCATCGTAGCTTACCGCAACCTTGAACTCCTGGGCTCAAACAATCCTCCCACCTCAGCCTCCTGAGTAGCTGGGATAAGAGGTGTGCACCATCACACCCAGGTAATTTTTCTTACTTTTTTGTAGAGATAAAATCTTGCTATCTTGCCCAGGATGTTCTCAAACTTTCATCATTCTAGGATCCTACCCCTTAAGACTCTTAAAATGGTAGGATTACTGCTGGGCGAGGTGGCTTGCTTCTAATCTCAGCACTGTGGGAGGCTGAGGCAGGAGGATTGCTTGAGCTCAGGATTTCCAGGCTTGTCTGAGCAAGAGTGAGACCCTGACTCATGAAAAAAAATTGGAAAACCCAGCCAGTCACCTCGGCAAGCACCTGTAATCCCACCAGCTTTGGAGGCTGAGACAGCAGGATGCCCACAGCCTGAGTCTGAGGTTGCAGTGACCTATGATTAGGGTGACTAGACATCCCGCTTTTGGCAGGACATTCCCACTTTTGAACAATTTGTCCCGCGTCCCACAGCATTTTTAAAAAGTCCCAATTTTTGGAAAGAATGCATGAACGGGCGGGAGAACAGGAAGGGAATATACGGTTTTTGGCTGCCATGTGGCTATTTCGCCAGAATATGAGTTTTATATTATTTTTGTTAATTTTATAATGTTAAACTGTAATAATAACAAATAATTGCTGAGAAGTGATTATCGAGAACTGCTTATGAAAGTTTGCATTGTTGTCAGGCCCTGCCCTGCCCGGTCCCGCCCTCCCCCCCTTGCTCCCCCCCACCATGTTGTCTCACCTTACCGATGTTAAAATCTGGTCACCTTACCTATGATGTCATTACACTCTGCTCAGGGCATAGGGTAGAACTCTGTCTCGACAAAAAAAAAAAAAAAAAAAAGAAGTAGCCCCCTCACCTGGCCGTCAGTTTTGCCATGTGAAGTAACATTCACAGGTTCTGGGGAACAGATGTGGATAAGGGGGTGGGGGTCATTATTCAGCTTTATTACATTTGTCCTTTAGCATAACTGCAGTTGTGTCTAGTATTCTGGATGTATCAATTTATTATGTAACATAACATGATTCATCAGTCAGGGATCAAGGCAGGAAACAGAAACCACTGGAGATCTTTTAACAGAAAGGCATTTAATATAGGAAATTCATGATTCAATGTTCCCATTGTAAACAAATGAATGTGGCTGTGTGCTAATAAAACTTTATTTACAAAAACAAGTGTTGATTTGGCCTAGGGCAATAGTTTTCTAGGTCATGATACAAAGGATCAGGACTTAGGTCTGGTCCTACAGGGATGACTCTGCAAAACTGGCCTTTCAAGGTTTACCAAGGTTGTTGCTGGATTCTGAAACATCAGCTGTCTCCACATCTGGCTGCTGGCAGAGTGAAGAGGAAGCAAAACCAAGTGCCTTCCACAGCTGCCTCTGGCCAGCACACCCTACTACACTGAGTATGCCCAGCTGCAGGAAAGTCTACAAGTGTAGTTGGGGCTTTGCAGCCTCTGCCTAGAACAAGGCTGGGCTGAGGCAGGTGTTAATGTCAGCCTACCCTGGTTTATTAGTGTATGCTATAATGATGGCAAGAATGATTGTGTAATTGTAGGACATACGATCATAGTCACCATTATGTTTAATTGCAGGATTAGGAGCAGAGTAATTACTATGCAATATAATTATATAATGAAATGTAATCTTAGATCATCAACTATATAATTGTGTTACACCCTCCAGGAAATTGAATGTGTGTGCTTTTGAAGTTCTTGGGTGATTCTGCTATGTTGCCTGGTGGAATGATAGGGAGAGGAGGCTCAAAGAAGATTAGAGTAAGCAGGATAGTAATTGGGGTGGGAGTGTTTTGGGTGAGGTAGGAGGATGGTAGTGAATATAAGGTTGATGCTAGAGTTTGCCCTGAGGTTGGGAAAAGTGACCAGAAGCTGGAGGGAAAATTGAAGGACAATAGATTAGATTAGGGGTTGGCAAACTATGACCCACAGGCCTAATCTGACCTGGGATTTTTATTTTTATTTATTTATTTGTCATCTCTTTTTTTGTAGAGACAGTCTCACTTTATCGCCCTTGGTAGACTGCCATGGTGTCACACAGCTCACAGCAACCTCCAACTCCTTTGCTTAGGTGATTCTCTTGCCTCAGCCTCCTGAGTAGCTGGGACTACAGGCCCCCACCACAACGCCAGCTATTTTTTTATTGCAGTTCGTCCGGGGCCAAGTTCGAATCCGCCACCCTCTGTATATGGGACCAGCACCCTACCCCTTGAGCCACAGGTGCTGCCCAGGATTTTTATTTTTAGAGACAAAAATTTAAAAAAACTGGGC